CAAAAGGAGGGTTGAATTTGAGCTCTTACTCTGTGCAGTGGTATCTGTTTGGGAATTCCAGCCTCCGTCCATATTGCTGAAACTAATTTTCTGCTGCTCAGGAGTCCTCCTTCACTGAGTCACAATGCTTTTGCTTCTAAAATTAGATGAATGTGGCATGAGGCAGCCAAGGATTGACTTTTCTCCAGCAAACATAAACGCACTTGTCTTTTCTTTCACCACACGGTGCTGGGAGCTGTTGTAAAACAAGTCACCTAGAGAGGTGTCCTTCACCATTTCTTAGTCATCCCTCCTGTTACATTTTACATGGTGTGTGGCATTTGCGTAGCCTTACAGTTTGCTATGTTAAAAGCTTATTTCATGCTACAGGGAGGGTATTTTCAATTTCTGGTAGTTCAGCTCTCTTTTGCTAGAGCGAGAGTACCAGTCTCGCTCTGCCTGTCTTGAGAATTGAATTTGCAAGGATGAGCTGATAGCTCTGAACGTGGACCTGTGATTAGAGCTTGAGCCCTAGGACAACTAGCAGCAACCCTGACAGCTTCCTCTTCCACTGTTGCACCGCCTAAAGCTCACCAGACATAGCTTTGCTTAGTGGCTACCTTCCAAGAAGGGATTAATGCAGAAAAAACACAACTTGAATCTATATAAATGCTATCTAGATACAGACTTAAAGAAAGAGGAAATCTTGCGGTCCTGCCCATGAATCATTTGTGTGTATCCCTATAACCATACTGTTTTCACAGCAATATTTAGAGTCTGGTGCTTTTTCTTAACAACAACAAAAAAGTTACTCTGTTTTATTCTGTTAATATGCCTTGTCTAATTTTGGATCACCCTTCCATCCTGGAAGGAGTTATAAGAAGCTGTTTCCTTTTAAAATCTGTTCCTTAAAGTTCGTTTTTATTTTTTATTTTTTAGTAAATATAGTTTTAATGCTGTAAATGAAACATTTTGTAAAGCGATTTGTTCATCTAGGCAGGTCTCTGCCTCTTTATTTTTCTATTGGATAGAAACCTGGCATACAGTGATGTGGGGGGAAATATGTCTGTAGAATCTTTTCACTACAAATAAAGACTCTAAAATGTTCTTTGTCACATTATTCCTCTAGTAGTGCTGATTATTCCAAAGGCTAACTTCTTATCCCATGCCTTAGGAATTACATTAAAGTTAAATTTTTGTCTTCCAATGTAAAATAGACAAATGGTGCACATTCCTTCAGTCTGGGAAGGGCATCTTTGGCAGGAAATCTGAACTTCAGGATCTAAGATCATATGGTAGAAGTCAAGATAGGACCCTTTTTTGTTTTTATTACCTTTTGCACTACCTTTATTATTGCCACATGGTCACTAGTAATTTTTTGCTCTGCACGTGGTATTTTCAACTGAAAAGCAACAAGGAATATCTCTTAAAGAACTTCATGCACTATTTTTAGCAGCAGGCTGACTAATGGGACAGTAGACATCCAGGCTTGGAAAATCCCTGCTGTTGATATTAACTCTTGGCTAAGAGAGTGCTAACTCTTGAGAAAGAGAATTACCATAAAATAAAATCATAACAGTAGTACTGTCCCTTGCAGAATATTTTAAATATTTGACAGAGTACTGAATATTTTAGAGACAAGTGTTTCTGAAATTATGTACAGTGGTACCTCGGGTTACGAATTTAATCCATTCTGTGACTTTGGTCGCAACCCGATTTGTTCGCAACCCGAAGCAAATTTTCCCATAAGGTTCAATGTAATTACTGTTAATCCGCAGAATATTTTAAATATTTGACAGAGTACTGAATATTATAGAGACAAGTGTTTCTGAAATTATGTACAGTGGTTCCTCGGGTTACGAATTTAATCCATTCTGTGACTTTGGTCGCAACCCGATTTGTTCGCAACCCGAAGCAAATTTTCCCATAAGGTTCAATGTAATTACTGTTAATCCATTCCGGCGTCCGCAGACCACGCGTCAAGGGCAGAAAAACGGCCGCGGACCACGCGACAGGGCAGAAAAATGGCCGCGGACCGCGCAGCAGGGCAGAAAAATGGCCGCGGACCGCGTGGCACGGGCGGAAAAATGGCCGCGGACCACGTGGCATGGGTGGAAAAATGGCTGCGGACCACGTGGCACAGGCGGAAAAATGGCCGCAGACCATGTGGCACGGGCAGAAAATGGCCGCGGACCACGTGGCACGGGCAGAAAAATGGCCCCAGACCACGTGGCACAGGCGGAAAATGGCCGCGGACCACGTGGCACAGCGGAAAATGGCCACGGATCCGGTTCGTACCCCGAGGCGGAGTTCGCAAACTGAGGTAAATTTTTGTGGCCGGAGATGGTCGCAACCCGAAAAGTTCGTAAGCAGAGGCGTTCGTAACCCGAGGTACCACTGTAATTTTTTTGTTTCAATAAAATAAATTATTGGTATAATAGGGGAAATGGGAATTCTTCCTGCCTTTCAGACAACGTTTGAGTAAAGACATTTGTCTGCTTTAGGGGAAATTATGTAATGAAGAATTCCATTGCCCTGTCTCTAAAAAATTACAGTAGGACATTGCAGCTCTCTGACAACTCTGAATGGCTCAGAGGATATATGGAAGATTAAAACAAGCACAGTATATTACCTTCTAGAAGCCTCTGAAGTCTTTTCTGTCCTATAATAACTGGACTTACAGCTTTGTTTTTCAAATAATTTATTTTAAATAAAGTATTTTGCATCCCTTAGCCTAATCTGAGTAGCAAGACCACTTTAATAAACTTGCTAACATTTATACAGTCTGTTTTTTAAGTCTTCTGGGCCACAAACAAACCACAAAATAAAATAAAAGTTGTCTAGCTTTGAAGTGAAAAGTGCAGCTAGCATTAACAATCTTCATCTTTTATCACAAGTTTGGTTATGGAGATTAAAGGGTAGTATTTGTGGCATACCAAACATTTGCAGCTTGAAACACCCTGCCCCAAGCCTAGAACAGCTGTTCTGCCCAAACTGAAAGAGCACCAACCTGGTGTTTTGAGCTCACAGTGTCATTGAATGATTTCCAGTGATATTTCAAATTTGAAATGCTTTGCATACTTGTAGTTAATACTTCAGGGTTAGATGCACAATAGAGGGTATAAAATTAATATAGTACTTGCATTTCCTCCTTTTCTATCATTGTGGAACTCACAGCGCTATATACAAGGTTCTAGAGTGCTATCCTGGTTGGTTTCAGCAAAGTTGCTGTATTATGTCCTGTTATTTCTTTGGCCGCAATCAGCAAATCAAAGTCAGTTTGTTCTTTCTGTCATTTGAACCAATACAAATCAAGTCCATTTTTTCCAAGTTACGCATCTAACAGGTAGGTGCCAGTTTTGTGCTAAATTAAATTCTTAAGGCTATCCCTAGCTGTGTAGATCTTTTCTTCTTAAATGAATTTAACTTAATTGCCACAATGCCCCATTATTAAAAACGTTCAAGTTCAGTGTTCATATGCTATAGCTGACTTGGATATAAATTATCTACCTCAGTCTGATTATATGGTTTTAAAATTCAAGGGATCTTAAAGTAAATTTTTATTTAATTTGCTATTCCAGAGGTTAGGCATGATCAACCTGTATATTTAACGAAGCATTTAACTATTCAAGAAATAATAATGTTAAATCTGAAAACAGGAAAAGCACCTGAGCCTGATGGGTATCTTATTCAAAAGTGTAAGACATCTATTGGTAATTGTATTGCCCCAGTACTACTGGAGGTTTATAATGAGACTTTTTAAAGCCTAGCTTTGCCTGCCTCCTTCAGTAAGTCTTCCATAAACATTCTGAAGGCTGGTAGAAACCCTCCTAACTACACAGATTATCACCTGATTTTCTTGTTAAATGTTGATGCTAAAATAATTACAGTGCCTCTGGCAATATTACAAACAATACTACCTTCAGTATTTATTTTGGTGCCTTCAAGTCAGTGTTGACTCATGGCGACTGCCTGGACGAGTCCCTGCAGTTTTCTTGGCAAGATTTCAGAAGTGGTTTGCCATTGCCTCCTTCCTAGGGCTGAGAGCATGTGACTGGCCCAAGGTCACCCAGCTGGCTTTGTGCCTCAGGCAGGACAAGAACTCACAGTCTCCTGTTTTCTAGTCTGGTGCCTTGACCACTACACCGAACTGGCTGAAACCTTTAGTTATGCATCCTACATAATCTGGATTTATAAAATATCAACAAGTGTTTGACAATAGTAGATTATTACTTGAATTAATATATGGTTACTCTAATCCCTGAGCTAGGGTTATTTCTAGATGGAATAATTTCCTCATCAGTCAAGAGGAACTCATTAAGGATGTCCTGTTTGAATCATAATACATTGATGTTAAGAACTACTCTTCTGTTAAATTAGAAGAAGCCAAAAATTTCAGCCCAATCCATTCAGAGACATCCCTGTCATTCCTCCTGCACTCTCCAGAGGCCAAAATAATATTTAAAAATGACAGGAGATTTTGGCAGAATGAAGTTACTCACTGCTTTGTTAAAGGTGTAAGGAGTTAAAGTAGGATTTAAAGTATCCAAAAGTCTTAACATTTTACAAACAAAAGTTTAATAAAACTTCATAAAAGCATAATTTCAAATCAGTTGAATCTATAGAGGGTGGTGAAAGAAAAAAGTCCCACAGAATTCATTTACAACTCTTGGCTTTTTCCTTCTCAGCTCATGTTGATGAGAAGAAAGAATGAGAAACAGTCACCAGCACTGCAAAGCAGTATAATACACATGTCTACTGTCCTATGTTTGCACATAGTTTATTACATTAAAAGCAAGGTTTCAAACTAGCATTTTCTTTGGCAGGGATAGAGTATTTGCTAATGGAATTAAGAGTGTCTGAACATCATCTCTTAAAATTCCCCTGAGCCCCTGCTGCAAAGGTAGTTTTTACAAAGGTGAGTTCACTTCTGCTGGTCCTTCCTTTCAAGGCCTATTTCCAACAAGATTGCCATAACAGGGTAGTAACTCCATCTCACCTATGGAAACCCAATAATTGGGTCATGCCACATTTTCCTCCTCAATGGGGCTCTGCAGCCAGGGTGGATAGCTGACTGGTAGAAGACCCTCCTTGCTGGGCACCTCCTTTGGGTTGTGAAAGAAGGAAGTATCTGAAGAGTCATGTTCTAGGAGAGGCCAGGACAAGACATTACCAGTTGTGTGAACTGATGTATCCACAAGGGGATCTGGATCATGGGGGGCAGCTGCAACACTCTCCTGGCCCAAAGCGCTCTGAGACAGATCACCCAACTCAACAGCATGAGCCTCTGGGAGAACGCTACATGCTTCTGTTCCCGGGCCAGCGGTATCGTGGCCAGGGCCTCCTTCCCCTTCAGGGATGAAGGGAATGCTGTTACTGCGCATGTGCTGCCTGGCGGGCGGGGAACATGTGCAGTCAGTGGCCTGTGTGTCCTGACAAAGGCAGCTGTAGGTGGTCGATGGCTCTGAAACACAGCTGTTCTTGCGCTTCAGCAGAGAGAGTCGACGTCCAAAACCACCCGAGGTAGGAGCTGTAGAGAGCAGTCGGTTTAAGAGGTGGGCAGGCACATGGCGGCTCTGTTCAAGGCCTTCGACAATCTCCTCCAGAGGCTGGAACTGCATATCTTCTTTTGCCAGTCTGGAAAGCAAGGACAAGTGGTTGAAGGGACTTGCTCAACTGGTGGTATTTCACGCCATGCTCAGATACTTCCTCTATTAGAAAGTAACAGGGCTTCCCTCTTGTGGAAAATGCACAATCATGGTCTTGCCAGTGGGGAGCTTTGTGCACAATGGGAGAAGATTGTTGATCTACCCCAAAAAAGGAGGAAAACCCAAAAGGGAGAAAATAGATAGACTATGCTGCAGGTTCATCCCCTTGTGTTCTCCCTCGTCCCATTAATAACCTCAGGTTAATAATTTATATTCCCTTTTTCTGTGCTGCATGAAGAAAACAGAAATCCTTACGTCACATCAAACGTGGAGCCTTGGAATGATGGCTGTTGCAACAGAAAAACTGTGGCTGCTGTGTACGGGGCGCGTGGGTTTGAGGAATCCCAATACCTATCCTTCTCCAGGATAGGCAGGTCCCCATACATCTCATCCACAGCCATCATGGAGACCTTCAGAAGAAAAGCAAACATGAAGAATCCCTTTTGCAGGCAGGCAGTGTCTGTCAGTAAGTATGGAGGGTATGTATGTATGTGGGTAGGGAGGGATGAGAATCTCAGCTGTGGGACAGGGGTCAGATTTGCAACTACTGAATCATGGAAAAAATAATCTCTCCTGAATGTTACTTTGCTGAACCTTAGCAGAAGAGGGGAGGTTGGGGTTACCTGGAAGTTCCTGTCGATCAATAAATTGGTTTCAAAGTCGTCGTCATCCTCCCCAAAAGGGTTGATGAGTTGCTCAGCCACCTGCAGAAATCCACAGTGAGGAAAGGTTGCTCCCCTGACAGTCCCTGTTCCCAACCTTGTACACAGCTTCCCAATCTGCTGCCAATTATACAAATAGGTGGAGGAAGGAGGCTTAATCTCTTAGTTGTTTCCCTCTGCCCTAAATCTGGTTCACTGACCTGCCCCTGAGCAATTCTTTGCCCTACAGCAGCCTTCCAAGGTGGGGGATTCCAGCCATCCCCAGCTAAAATCACCATTACTCATACTGGCTCTCATTAACTAATAGGGTACTAGAAAGGGCCAGGTTGGGGGCCACAGTAGTTGGGGATAATGAGAACTCTTGTTCAACACATCAGGGCAGGATTTGCTTGAGGAATGTTGCTATACAAGATGCTCCAGTAATTTAGCCAGCTCCATTCTGTCTTACCTTGAGCCATCCAAAGTAGAAGAAGAATTGAAGCAGGGTGAAAACAGGTACCCACAGGTCTAGATCGTATCCTTTATAACCTTGGGCTGGATCGAGGAATTGCCGTCCGATTAGACAAGAAAAGAAGAAGCTGTATACAGCAATGGTAACCACCTGTCAGAGCAGAGCAAAGGAAAATGAAGAGGCAGAGAGCTTCTTGGTTCAAACAAGAGGTTTTTTATTAGTTACTTCAGATGCCATTCCAGGCACAGCTTAATCCTTGCTTAATCGCCTTTCATTCAGAGAATTAGAATTGAGGTCTTCTTTCAGATCAATACTAATATAAGAAATTGTGGTGATTCTGATATTCAGATTATACATTTAATTTCGTAATAATTTAAAAACTCTGAGATATAATTATTTCTCATTCTCTCTTAAGTTACCAGTGGGAATTAGGACTACACCTCATGTAACACTGAAAGAATAGAACAATAAACATTTTTTCAGTTGTTGACCACCAATAATGTACAGTATGCAGAAAGGCACCTGATAACTAATTTACTTAAGTTCCATTAGTTACTTTTATATCATCCCGAGTTACATTTCTGAAGACAGCGATTGTAAATAAACAGCTAAAATATGGCTCTTCTAGACTAAGCTAAAGATCCCAGATACGAGGTGGTAAAGGATCTTGCAGCACTGTAATTCTGTAGATATGATGTACACTTGGTGGGTGTAATTAACTGGTAGGCAGAGCAAAATTAACTGTCCTGCTAAGCACACCATAGAGGGCAATCTCAGCCACAAGGGAGCTTGTGCTCTGATGAAGTTATTCTGGAGCCAAGTTCTCTGATGTGCAGTAGTATGTTATCCATAGAATTCTTGACATGCTCGTTTCACATCTTAAGGTATGAGAGTTTTAAAATGCTCTAAATATACCAGCTCTGTTATCTATGGCCAATTTTAGCTGTGGCTTTTGTGGCTTGCTGGTTTTAGACTTTGTACACTACCTTTCAGGCAAAACCTTCAATCGATCAATCAATCAATAAAACCATGCTATGTTACATATGTAATAATTATGTCAATAAAAGCCACAATTCAAACTTGAACATGGTTAAAGCATTCAACATTTAAAATAGCAGCAGCATTAGCATGCACATGCTAATTATGCTTGAAATAATAATAATAATATTGACAAAATCACTTTCAGTCAATTGCAAAAGGCAGCTTTACTTGGAACAGCTTATATCCTGCAACGATATCTAACACTATCAAACAACAACATCTGCCTATCCCAAGA